TCTTATATTAGTATCCTTTGTGGATATGACTTGGTTTGTCTTTTTCTGTTAAAATGTGATTCTTTTATAATTGGCCATCGATCTATTTTTATTAAATATGATTTGACTCATGGATTAGAAATATTTGTGAAAGGGTGATTTGAAGTGCATATTGAAATGTTTATGAATTGTGTTATAAATATATATTTAAAATGTTGACAAATGCGAGGGCTAGTAGGGGACCGTTACCCTAGTGTCACGGGGTTAAGTGGCACCGAGTATGCACCATGTAGCAGTGGTACATATGGTCCTGCTTGGTTAATCCGTGATAGGGGACCAAATTATTTATGGATCGTGCTTGGTTAATCCGTGATAGGCGATCCTTATGACCATGTATACTTAGAGTGATCATGTTTGATTAATTCGCGATGGGTGATCACTACCTAACAGTTCTGTAGGTGTGACTCTGATTAGTTAATCTGCTATGGGGGGGTCACTACCTACTTGGTTATCTTGACCCTGCTTGGTTAATCCGTGATAGGGGATCACCAGTGGTCCTGCTTGGTTAATCCACGATGGGATACCATATTATTTATGGATCGTGCTTGGTTAATCCGCGATGGGCGATCCTTATAGCCATACATACTTAGGTGTGATCATGCTTGGTTAATCCGCGATGGGTGATCACTGCCTAATAGATTTGTGGGAGTGACTCTGCTTGGTTAATCCACGATAGAGGGTCACTACCTACATGGTTACTCAGGGGTGGCTCCGCTTGGTTAATCCGCTATGGGGGGGCCACTTCTTATTTGGTTACTTATGTAGGCTTCAGCCGAACTGCATCCTTCTAGTGCTAGATTTTAGTGTATTTATGAACGATAGTTTTTGAGAATCTTTGTGGTTTGAATTAGAAAAGTCTTTGTGCTAGATGTCGGGGTGACACCTTCGGAGTTTTAGAGACTTGACTATGCTTTCATAATTATGAATGTATATTTGAGGTTTATAAACTGTGATCGATGGTTTTTCTTTTTATTGAATATCACATACTTGTATTATTGTCACTCACCCGAGCTTCACAGTTTATTCGAGTTCTGGTTGGCCTGTGCACCATTTCCATGATGTAGGCATTGATTATACATGTGATAGCTCTGGGCAGATTACGAAAAACAACTTGATATTTTGGATTCCGTTGAGTGGTCCAGAATCCTTGCTCTTGCTCATTTCCATAAGGTTAGTCTAAAGCCCTAGATTCGAGTGAATGGGAATTACCCCTAATAGACGTGGTGAATATAAATTAGAATCACCATGTTTATTACTCATAATCCAAGTAGGGAATTATATAGAGTTCCTTAGTTAAATTCGTGAAATGATAAGTTATCGTAGTGATTGATTAACGTAAATAAATGCTAAGATCATGCATTTGTGATTCATGAATTGATTAATTGATGGGATTGTGGAATGACTTTGGATATGGATGTTATTGTTATGATTATTTTAGTTGATCAATGTGGCTTGAGAAGAATATTGTGCTTCGATATTGGTTCTCTGACATATTGCATGGTATGCATTGTGATATATTGTTAAGACATAGCGATTTATGTGATGGATGTTTGAGTGTAGTGAAATGATGAACTGCAAATGGCTTGATCCCTATTAAGGGTATGTAGACAGTCTAACGAGGAGGTTAGATGCAACCATAAAGTATACGAAATTTTTTTTACGCAGTTGGATCTCGAGTTGTGCATTGCCCATATCCCGGAGGCGGGGTATGTTAGAGATATGGGTATTTGGTGATGTCACTTGTTGATCCTGAACGTATGTCGGGATTGAGGCATGACATTAAAGCAATAATATCGCTTAAATCAAAATCTTTCGGCAAATTACTGTTGGAATTCTGTTATAAATTAAGACCAATCATTATCATTCCTTAAAAGTCTGACTTAAAGCAGTTTAATTTCCTCGATTTCTTTCAAAAAAAATATGAGATTGATCTTTTGGACATTCCCTCACTCGTACGTACTTTATAGTACTCTTGTGCCGTTAAGTAACTAATCAATCCAAAGCAACTTTAGTAATTTGTGTTAGTATATTGGAAAGTTGAACACGTACAAATTAAGGAGGGCCAAATAATTAATGGAGATGTAAACGTTGTGTCGGACATTTAGTTAGGAAGAGTTTGTCAAAACCCTTGTCCAATTTTCAAAGAGGACCACTCGCAAATGCACCAAGAGACTCCGTGAAGCCTTGGCCTTTGATTACGATTGGATGGATTCTCATCTTTTAGAAGTTTATTAGGTGTACACCATAGGTGAAGTAAGAGAGATTTTCTAGTGTGTCGAGAATATGGTCCGGTACAACAAGTATCATAACATAAGTAGTTGAATACTTGAAAAGAAAAAATTTCAACCACTTATATTATGACACTTAATGTATCGAACCGTATTCACTGAAAAAATTCTCGTGAAGTAGATTCTAGGCCACCTTTTGATATACCATATAGTTTCTACTTTGTAAAACCCTTTGCAAAAATTTTGGTACACACAGCTCGTCATTGACCTCAACTCAAAAGGCTTGGTGTACACTAGCAAGATTTTTTGGTGTGCTTGTAACTTAGTGATTTACCATCCTATTCAAATTATATATATATATATATGTATGTATTCGATTTTATTAATACACTCTCGACAACGGGCATGTTAATCATGTTTTTCACCATATCAAGGAGATCAAGTTTTTTTTTTTTTCCTTGGGAGAGGGTGTTTATATAGTAGAAAAGAACTTCATTAGGTTTTTGTTGTGAAGTACTAAGGTTTTTTTTCTGTACGCCGAATCTGGACTAACGAATTAAAGGAGTTGTCATAGTTGATTTAGAATCAGCAGGAGAGGGAGGCACAGCAAAGGTCCTCGTACTGCGTGGTTCCACAACTTGTACGGATGAAGTCAATTGCGCGTTGGGTTGGGGATCCAACGGTTGGGATTGGGTGGAAGAGAAAGGAAAAGAGGAAAATGAGGAAGCAAAGGTCCTGGTCCTGGTACTGCGTGGTGCCGTAATATATGTGGAACAGTGTTTGGGAGATCAAAATTTTTAAACCAAAATGCAATTCAAATGACGTGTCACCAATAAAAAATAAATATGTTAATCGACACTTAATTAATAATCTAATCATCTACAACCACATCATTTAGTTTGTAAATTTGGTTTAAAAAATTTAGTCTACCTAGTATTACTCAATATATGTGGTTGGATACTTGAAAAGAAAAAATTTCAACCACTTGTATTATGACATTTGATGTATCGAATCGTGTTTCCGACATTGAAAAATTTCTTAGGAAGTAGACTCTAGACCACCTTTTGGTATACCACGTAATTTCTACTTTATAAAACCCTTAGCAAAAATTTTGGTAGACGCGGCTTCTCATTGGCCCATTGACTCAAAAGGCTTGGTATACACAATGAGAGATTTTTTTAGTGTACTTGTAACTTAGTGATTTACTATTCTATTTATATTATAATATATGTATTTAATTTTATTAATATACCCTCAACAACGGGATATTAATCATGTTTCTCACCATATTGTAATATGTAAATGATTCATGATGTGAATAAGTGTTTTCTGTGGGCTCCCTCTTTTCATCTCAAGAAGCCGTGGAGGACTTTTGATTCTTCTTTGGTTAAGAGCGCAGGAGTGCCATCATGTGGCCTACATTAGCCGACATAGAAATATCGTGAAAGCTATTGTGTTGTGCTCTTGTATTTGATTTTAATCAAACGATGTGCGAGGGAGCAAGGAACCTGCTCTCAGCCTAGGCTCTTTCTTTTTATTGGGGACAAGACTTTGAACGAATAACCAAATGATGAAAGATGGATGGGTGGAATGTGAGATTACACTAAATTATTTCTAGAATGGAATGTAAAATGCCAAGTTGTGCATGGTGTTGAGGTCCCTCTTCTTTTCTTTGAAATTTATAAAACTTGATACGTCTCAACAGTATTGACCATAAAAATATTACTGTTACTATCGACTTGTACCGTCTCTTTAATGAATACGAGATCCATATGATCAACTGTATATAAAGATAGGGATGGAAGATGAATGTTTTACCACTTTGGCCATAGAAATTGTAATACTGAATTGATTTGGTGGATAAAGTCTGTTTTCTACAACTAACAGCGTTTCATGTTCAAACTCTCTCATGAGTTTTTAGTGAGCTTAAAGCAATAATATCGCTTAAATCAAAATCTTTCGGCAAATTATTGTTGGAACTTTGTTATAAATTAAGACCAATCAGCATCATTTTGTTATAAATTTTCTTGATTTCTTTCGAAAAAGTATCAGATTTATCTTTTGGACATTTCCTCACTCGTACAATACATTCAACCATGAAACCCATATATGTTGATGGACTCTACCTCTATTTGAGATATGGTATAAATAAATGGTAAGTGTAGCACTATTTTATTGACCATTAACTAGCCTGCAGTTGTATTAATTTATTTTCTTCAATCAAAGTTAATTGGAATTTGAACACCCGTGGTTGCGTCCATCAAAATATTTCCAACCCAGTATGGCTTTATTCACTGAAATTTGGCCACCAGCCATTAGGGTTTTAGTAAGACCAACTAACAGAGGCATTTTACCTCTCGTATAACAACATTGATAGATGTTGCATTTGAAAAGTACCCAAATTTATAGGGAATTGTTATTAGCACTCCAAAAATCTCATTCTACACTCCAAACTTTCTATATTAGGAAAGAAAAATACACTTGTGAGAAGTGTAGAATGAGATTTTTGAAGTGTTAATAACACTTCCCAATTAATATACAAAAATAAAGTTCACACGTGAAAAAGATCTCTTATGAGTTATGAAAACGTGAATTTTGGTATGGGTTATGTTAACGCTGAAAATTGGTGAGACTAACAAAAAATCTGAGCAGTCAATTATGGTGGACAAGAATATACATAACATTTTAACGTAATAAATTTTGAGTGGTTTACCCAGAAATGGACTGCATCAATTGAAAATTTGTAACATATATATGTGTTGGGGTACAATACATTCAACCATGAGTGCTCAAGGGCTGCTAACCAATTTAGGGAGAAAACGAAATGGTCCAAAATTCAACCCCTCTAGTCTATTGGGTTGCCTCTCTTCTTTATATAGGCATGCTCAACCCATAATAATTGCTCATTTTCAGGCCTCCTTAGTGGCCAAACCCAAGTGTGTAAAGGTAGAGGTCTCACCACAAATTGCCCGTAACCTTGGTCACACCCTCCACCCGATTGGACACTTATTCCTGAGAGGCCCTTCCGCCACGGGCTCCAAGTCTTCTTCACAAGTCACCGCGTCGTATCCGCGACGTTCAACTGGAGATTCGTATCCCTAATCTTTTCATGAAAGGACGGGGTGCCGAGCTGGTCCATAAATATATTTCTGAAGGACACTCTTCATGAAGCCAACTTGAGCTGATCAATCTTCCCCATCCTTGAACACGATACCTCCGCCTCTCAGGAACCGGCTCAGAAGGTGCCACAATCCGACTCTACATTGAGCAGTATGAGAAGGATCCATCGAAAGTTGGCAGAGAATCCTCAGAAGCACTTATAGTCCTCTTGTGAGTTTAATCATTATTCTCAGTCTTATTATTAAAACTTTGTGGCCAAGTTTTTCGGGCTGGCTCTGATTCGCTGACTGTGTATATAGGTGGAGGTTGCTCTTAAGCTTTCGAACATGCAAGAGTTCACCGGACGATCTGCCCCGACCGTCATCATGTAGATCCACATCTCTAAAATCCCATGAACAAGGACCGGCTTGTTATCATCAAAGGTATTGGTAATAAGAGAACCTTTTTTTTGTAACGTTGATGGGTCTGTGGGTCTCTGATGTCAACAATTTTTTGTTCGTCCAAAATAATGCGAACTATGTTTTGCAATCTCTTGTCCAAATCTGGTGTGCTTTTCACCAATGTATAATTTGCTTTTTTCTAGTGCGTATCTGGTCCCTGAAAGCGTTTGTGAATGTCGCTTTTAACCAATGTATCATTTTCAATTTGACATGACTTTTCATCTAAATCTCTTGTGTCTTACTTTATCCCTCGGTCAAAATCCGTTAAATTTTCTGTTCGAGATGCTGACATGGGTGAGAAATTGGCTTCCTTTTTGCGACACGTGGCACAGTAGTAGCTACAATCAACGGCTAATGTAACTCGTGAGAACTGAGCAGCTACATTTGTAACCAATGTCATCCAATTGGTCCATGTGATAACTTATCCGCCTAAGATGTACGTGATCACTTTTTATGATATCAAATAATGGGTGCCAATTTTCATTTTAATACGTTTATTTATGGCTTGGCATCGTTGACCCCATATTGCGAATAACATTATGTGACAACGTATCATGATGTGTTTGTAACTGCTTTTTAATTGATTAAAAATGTTTTTAGAAAAAAATATTTTTAAGTTCCAAAAACACTTGAATTGCCTTTCAGGATTTACATACATACTAATCAAGGATTAGTTCAAAAAATATTTTCACCAGAAACACTTTTACTTATTTTATAAACACTTTCAAACGAGTTCTTAATTAATCACACCACGTAATAACATGAGGTAAGAGTTTGAAAATATTTACTGCATTACAGGAGGGATAGATGGGATATAATTACCAAAAGGAAACTAAAAACAAGCTATGTGACGATTTTTACTTTAGGTCACTATCCGCACACAACAATACACATGTGTGACGAGTCCCTCCCTAACAAGTCAAACAACTTCTCTCCACAGCCACATGCATGCATTATCATAGACCAGCTGTAAATGGAACTCCGGTCCCCGGAATCCACGAATCTCCGGCCAAAAAGTTCCCAACCGTAAACTTCCCGGCCTCCACCGCACTCGTTATAACACGATAACCGGGCCAGTTGACCCTCCCTCCAGTACCAGCTCCAGCGCCGGAGTTCATGTACTCCCCGTAATAAAGTGTGGAGAGGGCAAAGCTTCCACTCCACGGATACCAACCAGCAGGAGTGATCAACCCATCAAGATTACTCTTCATAATTACCGTCCTAGAGTACTGTTTCCACGGCCTACCCATGTACGTCTTAAACGAACCTTGTACAGGTCTCAAATCTTGTGCAGCCGTGATTCGCGAATTATGAATAACAATGCCTGTGTTTTCATTCGGGTCGGTCCTAGACTGCGCTGTCACGGTGTTTACTTGGTTGCTCATTGGCTTCCTCGCGTAGATGTTGCAATTTTGGAGCACAACCGTGGCGTCGCCGCAGATGAAGTCGACCGTGCCGTATATGTCGCAGTCGCGGTAGAATTGGCGTTGGGAATACACGTATAAGGTGTCTTGGTAACCCTTGAAGCTGCAACGGTAGAAGACTGAATGATCGGAGCCGGAGCGGAGTGCCACGGCTTGGTGTTTCTGTGGTCCGGCTGTGTTTTCGAATGTCATGTCTTGAGCAATAAAGCCATCGCCGGTAGCCCCTGAATTTTAAGTGAACAGTTTATTAATTTTGTGAACTATTAGATGTATACTAGGAGAAAAACTTGTAACTATTCACGTGGCATGTAATTAGCTAAGTTATCAGTATTTAAATCTTGTCGAGAAAAGGGAAAAAAAAAAAAAAAAACAAAAACAAAGAAAGGAAAAGGAAAAGCAGGATCTGGTAAATAGCTTTATAATTTGAGTAAGAGTAATGATAGAAATTAAGCACGTTAATCAATACTTAATAATTTAATTATCAATAATCATGTTATATGGTTTACAAAACATGGTTTAAGTGAAGAATAATATGATAGATTAATTTACAAACCATGTGATGTGTCACTAATAAGAAATAAACACGTTAATTAACATTTAAGTAATAATTTCATCATCAACAACCGCGTCATATAGTTTACAAATTTTAGCCTAAAGAGTTGGTCTCTCTAGCACTTTCAAATCGATCATGACTTAATTAATTAAAGGATAAATTAGGTTTTCATCCCTCATTTCTCCTTCTTATTAATTTAAACCTTTTTTTTTTTTTTTTGTTCAAGGTCCCTTGACTTTTCTTCATGCCATTAATTGAATATTAAATTATTTACAAGTCCTTATATGTCAATTTAAAAAAATTATTAATCATTTTCAAATATAATTTTTTTCTTTTTTTTTCCATATATTTCTATTTATAATTTGTATCCTATTTTAAAAAAAATTATACCAATATTCTTTTTAGTTTTAATTTGTATCCATAATTTTGAATTTTAATATGTACCTATATTTTCAATTAAATTTGCACCCATAGTTTTGAATTTTAATATGTACCCATACTTTTAATTTAATTGTACCAATAGTTTTTATTTTATTTTATTTTTATTTTTTTGGGTTTTATGAACGTACCCATGCTAATTATATTATGTGTGAATTAACACGATAACCGTGCTAATTATATTATGCTAATTATATTATCTTAAGTAATAATTTCATCATCAACAACCACATCATATATTTTACAAATTTTAGTATCAATAGTTGGTCTCTCTAGCACTTTCAAATCGATCATGACTTAATTAATTAAAGGATAAATTAGGTTCTCATCCCTTATTTCTCCTTCTTATTAATTTAAACCTTTTTTTTTTTTTTTGATCAAGGTCCTTTGACTTTTCTTCATGCCATTAATTGAATATTAAATTATTTACAAGTCCTTATATGTCAATTTAAAAAAAGTATTAGTCATTTTCAAATATAATTTTTTTCTTATTTTTTTTTCATATATTTCTATTTATAATTTGTATCCTATTTAAAAAAAAAATTATACCAATATTCTTTTTAGTTTTAATTTATATCCATAATTTTGAATTTTAATATGTACCTATATTTTCAATTAAATTTGCACCCATAGTTTTGAATTTTAATATGTACCCATACTTTTAATTTAATTGTACCAATAGTTTTTTTTTTCTTATGAACGTACCCATGCTAATTATATTATGTGTTTCTTTTATGTTTTAAAATATATCAAATAGTTATTGCTTGCACTATATTAATAATTACGTGGGTACATTTTGTTTTTTTTTTTTTGCTAGAACCATGTAAAGAACAAATTACTCTATTATTGATTTTTAAGTAATTGTTATATTTGTAACAATATTATTTGGATTTTTTTTTAAATTTCATAATTTGTGGGGTATTAAGTGCATCAATGCATGTGAGTTAAATCCCTTAAATGATGCTAGAGACCTTGATCAAACTATTTAAACAAAAAGATTTCATTCTAACAACTAGGTTGATTAGTGACTAGAACCAAAATGACCCTTAATTAAATTGGTCTTCAATCAATTAGTATCTAAGTGTGACGCCACCTAAAGTTTCAAAATTAACTTAAGATGATGGGGTTTGTTGAGTCCAAATACCCCTTAAACTTATTCAAAGTTTATTATTGTTTCAACTCAAACATACCAAATGTGGCAGAGCGATATGTAGTTGAACCATCTTGGACATTTTTATTCCCTGTGACAATCGTTGCATCGATACCATCTCCAATGAACATGATGTTCTTCATTGTCTTCTTAATCTCGATATTTTCTCTGTAAACTCCGGCCTTCACGTGTATGACGAACCTTTTACTCGCCCCACCCTGTAGCTTGTACGCAGCATCCACAGCTTCAGAAATTGACTTGTAATTCCCGGACCCATCTTGTGCTACTACCATATCAGCGTTTGGTCCGCTACTTATCGATTGGAGCAGCTTTCGATCAGCGGCTGAAACCCATCCTGGGAACCCATCATCCGAAAGCAAAAGCCGTCGTCTTCCATGAACTTGTTTGCTAAAATGTAGAGCTGATGAAGTAGTTGAGACCTTGTGTATTGATAGTGAGTTGCTAAGGAGCTTGGACAAGTTGGTTGAGAGCGTGAAGTAGTTTGGGAAAGATTGCAAATAAGAACTAGGAATGTTGAGGTTTGTGAAACCATTTTGGCATGTCTGTTGATTAGTAAGCGATGCACTCAACCATGTATTGACATCAAGGGCATTGGTGGAGCCGATTGAACGGTTGAGCTTGTCAACGGTGTCCTCGTAGAGCTCCAAGCAGTCATTCCAGGCCCCCTTGGCTCGAGTATGGTCACCGTCCAATGAGTTCGAGTTCAAGGACAAGACAAGTTGATGAGCTTCAATGGCTTGGTCCATGGACACTTTAAGTACCAAGTCACGAAATGCAAACCTTTGGTGACGATCTAGGGTTGATAAGAGGTTAGTGTTAATATAATGGCGACATACTTGAGGGTATGGGGTTTGACTGCATGGTGCAGTGATTCTACAAGAACTATACTGCAGCATGAGTAGAAGAGAAAAGAACACAAGAAAATATGCATTGTACTTCATGGTTTGAACTTTGATCTGTGATCTTCAGAGGGCCAATGGGGACTTTTTTATAGACCACAACTTGCCTTTGTAGGGCTTACGTGAGTGGTGTACGTGCGGTTAAGGTTTTTCTTTCGGAGATAAATGGGTTATGTAGACTTTATCACTCTAATCACTTTCTATAATGAACAAAGCCTTATAAATTGAGAGAATCTTTTGATAGTGACCAATATAGAACAATAAAATTTCTACTCAAAATTTCCATCAATCTCTATATGCCAGTTGGGAGCGACCTTTTTAAGCCACAACATAAGACGGTGGAAGACTAAAACATAAATGCGGACAATTGACTCGGAGTCATGATTTTTGTAGTTTGTCCTTGTATGGTCAGCTGTATATAAAGACAGGGATGGAAGACGAATGTTTTACCACTTTGGCCATAGAAATTGTAATACTGAATTGATTTGGTGGATAAGGCTGATTTACAACTAACAGTGTTTCGTGTTCAAACTTTCTCATAAATTTTTAGTGAGCTTAAAGCAATAATATCGTTTAAATAAAAAAAATTCGGCAAATTACTGT